GAGAATATAGGTGCAATCTGAACTGCACAATGCAGGAAGGAACATGCAGCAGAAAGAGAAGAGTCCTTTGATAAAATAAAAAGCTCTTTATGAAATTTCCCTTCCATTGCCATATAATAAATACTTTAATTAGGAAGGCATAAAGCTTATAGGAACTTGGGTGTAAGAGGGGGGCAAAATGTGTAGGTTGGCAACAACTGAGCTTTGGAAATTACACAAAAAACTGCTATTAAAAATCAGTGGCAAAAGGGGTGTATCTTCCACAGATTGCTTTTATTCTCAACAATAATTTCATAGGCTGCATGCATAGTTTTTACTTTGAAATCAATTCATCCAGAAATCTCCTTTCTTCTGACTTCAGTTCATGTGCAGAACTGCACAAGAGCAGGAGAAGAGCTTTCAGTTTTCCCAGAGCATGATTCTATTACCCCTAGTATGCCTATAACATTTAATTTCCAGTTCATAAACAGTAAATACTAGTTTGGATTTTCACCAAGGCTAAGTGATTTTAAACAGTCTTACAGCTCCTGACCTGTAACATGTCTGTTGCTATAAGGTAAGTTTTTCATTTGTGTGGTTTTCCCCACCTCTGCAGATTTGAAGTTGAAATACATTTCTCCTGCAAACGGCAGCCTACTGACAATCATAAACAAATTACACTCTCTGTGTCAGCATTTGAAATCAAGTCACTAAATCATGGCGTGCTGGAATGGAATTGCTGCCCCTATCATCTACCACTTACTGCTATCAAAGCATATAACCGGATTAGTGGGAAAACAGCTGTATTACTTATACATTTAAGCTCCTTCAAACAGCAGGTTTTCCTTCTGCAACAAAGCACAGTACTTCAGATAAGAAAAATGCAAATCCCAGAGGAAATCATGACATATTAACCCCTGGCAGTCTTTACGTGACTTAATAGTTTGTTCAACCTCTTTTTGCTGGAAATAAATGCCAGAATTATATTAAATCAGTAGAACTAATGTATTTTAACACATCCACTTTTAAGCTTTTTATTCCCTAGGATTTCTCCATATACCAGACATGGTTGATTAAATCATCCTGTCACTTTCTAGAAGTGATTGGCATGAGCTTAAATCCGTGTCTTTCTGTTGTGGGCAGGAATCATCATGCATATCGGTTTTGTGGGACAACATCTTGGCAGAGGTTAGTGGTAAAATAGCTCTTTAGTTAACTCAGAACCTCATTACTAAACTTACTATGGTTATTAAAGCTAGCAAGCCATGAAACAACTGTTGCATTCCTGGCCAAAAGTTCCAGGAGGCAAAAAAAAATTGCAGATAACTTCCAGTTACTACTAGTGTCCATCTGCTAATGTTGAGTTAACTGAAAATTATCACCTAACTTTTTTAACTTTTTAATTAGTCAATGATGCCTAAACCCAGGATGCTTCAAGAGCAAATGTCCTTAAGTAGTAACATGAAACATCAAATCAACCTACATGACTTTCACCTAGGAAAAAAAAAATTAAGTTGATATTTTGGGGTTGGGATTTATGAAGAAAGTACTGGAGTTAGACTTGATTTAGACACGCTTTCTTTGTTATGGAATATTCAGTGAAGAATAATGATGATCTTTTGTGTATCATCATGTCATAGAATCAAAAAATAGAAGAATAGTTTAGGTTGGAAGGGACCTTTAAAGGCCATCTAGTCCAACGCTCCCACAGTAAGCAGGGACATCTTCAACTAGATCAGGTTGCTCATGAGCCCCATCCACCCTGACCTTGAACGTCTCCAGGAATGCGGAATCCATCACCTCTCTCGGTAACCTGTTCCAGTGTTTCAGCACTCTCATCCTAAAAAATGGCTTACTAATGTCTAGTCTAAATGTACCCTCTTTTAGTTTAAAACCATTACTCCTTGTCCTATTGCTACAGACCCTACTAAGCTGATTGTCCCTATTCTTCTTATATGTCTCCTTTAAGTACTGGAGAGCTGTAATAAGGTCATCTTGGACCCTTCTCTTCTCCAGGATGAACAACCCCAACCCTTTCAGCTTTTCCTTGTAGGAAGGGTGTTCCATTCCTCTGATCATTTTTGTGGCCCTCCTCTGGACCCACTCCAATAGGTTCATGTCTTTCCTGTGCTAAGGACTCAAGAATTGGATGCAGTACTCCAGGGGAGATCTCAGGAGAGTGAACTAGAGGGAGAGAACCACCTCTCTCAACCTCCACATGAGGATTTTGTTATGATTCCCAGATCATTAAAAAAAAAGAAAAAAAAAGATTCTTTTGAAATTAGACATGAACTAACCAACTATCTGACTTTTAGCACAATATATAAACCTAATAAATCAGGATCAGGACTTTTGACCAAAGGTATACAAGGAAGAATAAGTGGGAAAAAACTAAACAGCAAAGTAAAGAATTTAACATTTGAATAAGGATAAGACCTCAGGCCTTCTAAGAAATAATCTTAAATGAAAGTTGTAAGTGATTCTCAAAGATCTGATTGATCAGAATAATGACTGTTCCAATGTACTATTTCACTTTAAAGGTCATGATATGTAAATCAAACATAAAAATAAAACAACATACAGGAAAATAGCACAGCAACTAATAGCAACTTTGCACTGGACGAATGCTTTATAAAGTTAGAACTGTGTACATATTTACATGAATAATCTTGAGAACAAATAATACTGAGTGTGATAATATATCACTTTCTTAGGCAATGTCATGTCTGGTGCTTAATTTGGTTTGAGGCTCTGATTGAGCTGTGGAAAACCTGAGCAAACTGAAAAAGGGGAAAAATTCTGAAAAAAAGGAAAAAACTTCTGTCTTCACTTCTCTTGTTTAAAGAAGTCTTTGTAATAGTACAGTCATTTGTTTTCTGTCTATAACACACAAATCCTTTTCTGTTAGAGAAAGAAAATGTCAGAACACAAGGTCTCTCACGATTCCAATATGTAAGTCACCTAAATACATGAAAACGTAGATTATACAAAAGTAACTGCAATACTGAAAGGATCTAATATGGAAGTTTAAATAATAAATCCACAACACCACATAGCACTTTATAAAAGATTCAGAGTTGCCATGTTCTGTTACGTGTACTTCTGTGGGTGCTGCCTTCCTCTGAGGATGAATGCAGCACAACCAAAAAAGTCATCTTCGGTTCTGCAGTCAAATATCTAATGTGGGCCTCTGAAGTTCATTCAAACAAGAAAGGATCTTACATATTGTAAGTTAGAAACCACTGGGAAAATGTACTGTAGAAAGTATTCAAGGATTTCTAGTCCTTTTTTGACACAAATCCCAACCCTGGGTCCTCGCTAGGGTAACACTGAACCTTAGCTAATAAAATACCCTGAGCCTAAGGAAGGCTTAGCATCAAGATATGCTATTTCTGGTCAGCTGGGAGTAAATGAAGGAAAGAGTTTGGAAAGCTGTGTAAATCAAGATGTAATGGGGGTCCAGATCTTCCAACAGCAAAAGCTGGCACAGCTCCATCGAATGCAGTAATCAATTTCCAGCTGTTTAGGATTAGAATATTATTATTTTTAAACCAGTGAACCTAACGACAAGATTTCAGCTCTCTAATGTCACTAATGAAAATCTTATTTCCTTTAACAATAATAATAAAATTTTTAGGTGGATTTTTTCCACTGCAATTTAGATGACAGAAAACAGTCTAATGCACTATTAAAAACTTTAACAAAAGAAATGCCATTGCAAATAAGAGCTTCTCTCTATACTTGAAGAAAGGTCTAGCTAGACTGACAGCAAAAGATGAAGCAATAAGCAGTGTTCAAAGAGATTTCTGATAGTGATACTTCAGGTCTTTCTCCCTGCAGGCTGGCTACAACACATCTGTAGAAGCTGAAAATTGTCTCCAAAATCATTCCAGAGTTACCATGCAGGCTGTCTCTTGTCATTAAGAGTAAGTCAATGTTCCCATCCTAAATCCTTAGAATCAAAGCTCTACGATTCAACAGCTTAATAAAAAACAAAAAAAGCCTTGCCCAAGGCTAGAGCATGACATCCAAGGTACCAACCTGAAAACTGAAAGTTGCTCGTGCCATATTTTATTTTGCCTTTAGCTTTCTTGAAAACCAGGAATCTGCACCTTAAATTCCAGGCAAACATTAACAAGGCCAAAGTGGTATTAAAAATAACAAAACCTAACCAAACCAAACTCTCAAAAAACCCACCCCCCCAAAAAAAACCAAACCCAAAAACCCCCAAAAAACCCCCAAAAAAACCCAAAAAAACAAAAACCAAACCAAAACTTTTTTAGAGAATTATTTAAAAATTCTATTATCTAAAAACAGATTTTTAAAGTCTAGAAGTCAAGTTTGAAGTGTAGATATTATATGCAGTGCTACAGTTTCAGATGCTATACTAAAAGATCTCAGTCACTGAAAAGCCAGCCCTGAAAAAAGCCAGCATCATCTTCATCTGACAATACATACAATCCTACCCTCCTAATAACCTCTGACCTGCACATCACATATATTGTCTCTGCATAAATTACGAGTTTTTTTAAGTTTCTTCATGGACTCTCCCCTCCATTATAGGAAAAAAAATGCTTTGCTACCCATCAAATTGCTACCTTCAGAACTTTTCAGGAGCACCTTTCTTTGTATCACTCCACCTCATACCACAATATAAAACCTAGGAACCACCAGTTATTTCAGAGAATCTGCATATGTCAATCAAAACAGAAGATGTGCTACACAGACCAGAATAATATATGGAAAAGGAGAATTTGGCTACACAGAAGTTTGTTTAAAGGATTTTTGCTTTACTTCCTCCATTGTTTACTGTAGCTAATCAGCCCTTCACTCAAACACATAGATAGCAACAAATCTAAGGCTTTTACTACACTTTACAAGAGAACAGTAAGACAGATTTGGCATTTTGCAATATATTTTATGTTTCTTAGTCTATTCAAGTATCTCATACCTGGCATTAAAAATAGTTTGCTTATGGCTTTGTTGACAATGAAAATTTGGTTGAAATAACAGATACTTACTGAAACCACATTCACAAAGTCATCGTCAGACAAGGTCTCTAACATCTCAATGACTGAGGTGCGGATCAGCTTCAGTGTCAATCCACTGACACTCCCACTCCTAACAGAAATCCACAAGATGATAGAAAAATTGAATTTATCAAGTTTTATTTAAAATGTACAAAGAAAATACAGAGCACCAACCAGCACTATTACTAACTTTCACACTTGAATTGTCAATAATTGACCTGAGTTGTCCAACTCACCACTACTGTTGTTACAGCATTATAATAAAAAATAAAGTTCAAAATTGGCATTCAAAGTCTCAGTCTTGTGGCTCAGATGAAGTCATAATGATGCATCATTTGCTCATTTTCATTTCAAGAAATCTGAGTTTACCACCTTGAACCAATGCATTATCTAAACACTTTATACTCCTACACATAGATTTACAGCTTTAGATTTTCAGAAACTGAAATGACATCTTGTTTGATTCAGGGCAAAACCTAAACTGAACTGCAGAAATAACAAATGATAAAACTCACTGCTGATATGAAAGCATTTCACCACATTTAAAAGCATTAAATTCAAATTCTCTTACTGAGAATGTTTTCAGCATAAAGCAATGTTTGACACATCAGGTTCAACGCTTCCTTCAGTCCATCTACATTAGTTAAACAAAGGAAGTCTTGCTAAGGCAAAGAGAGAGTTTTTATTAGTTTCTTCGCTCGCTTTCCATTAATGTTTTAGAGTAACTGAACTTGGCAATTTTTAAATACGTATGGTAAAACATGCAAACTCAGCAAAATTCTCATCTTTCAGGCTCATGAAATCCTCATTAAATCTACTTTCATGCTTCTAGACATTTGTTTTCAGGTTTGTGTTTGACAACAAATCTTGGCATGCACATGAGAAATTTTAAAGTGATTACTCCAGTAATTAAGAAGCTGAAAGCAGAATAAAATTAAAGTGATTAAAATCCACTTGTATCCTGTTTAAACAACTTTCAGGTCTCGTTTGGGCTTTTTGGAACTATTTTTCCTGTGTATGTGTTTTGTTTGGACCAAGATTTTTGATCCTTGCATAGAAGGACTTCTTAATGCTCCTTTTCAGCATACAGGTTTGTTCAATACATCCAAGTACTTTTATTGACTTCTAACGTCAATATCCAGACATTAAACACTTACGCATCAACTAAAATAAGCATGTCTTTGGGAGATGCAGCTCCTTGGATATACCTGAAATAAATAAAGAGTACAATTGAAAACATTTCTTGCACGTAATGGAACACACTCTGTGGTCTCTAAACTAAATGTAGCATTAATAAATGAACCAAGCAAACCATAGAATCACGGAATGGTGAGGGCTGGAAGGGACCTTAAAGACCATCTGGTTCCAACCCCCTGCTATGGGCAGGGACACCTCCCACCAGACCAGGTTGCCCAAAGCCCTGTCCAACCTGGCCTTGAACACTTCCAGGGAGGTGGCATCCACAACTTCCCTGGACAGCCTGGCCAGTGTCTCACCTCCCTCACAGTCAAGAATTTCTTCCTAATATCCAGTCTAAATCTACCCTCTTCCAGCTTAAAACCATCCCTCTTCATTCTGTCGCTACCTGCTCTTGTAAAAAGTCCCTCCCCAGCTTTCCTGTAGGACCCCTTCAGGAACTGGAAGGTTGCAATAAGGTTCCCTGAGAGCCTTCTCTTGTCCAGGGTGAATAGCCTAAACTCTCTCAGTCGGTCATTTATAAACACTTGCAAAAGTCTGGAAGAATGTCTCAGACTAATGATGTGAATTACATTTGATTTTGGCACAAAAAGTTTTTAACTGCCTATTTGATAGTTATCCTCCAATTACAAGCTCCATGTAATGCAACAGTACAACGCACTATAATGGATGTTGCATAATGAAACAGTATGATTTGAAAATTGTTTATTCAGAAGAATTAACTGATTTTTTAAAAAATAAAAAAGCAATAGGATTACCAGATATAAATGATCATGAAAATTTGCCTTCACAGCTACATCTAGAAAGTTATATAAATACATCAGTCCTTTAAAGAAAGTTTACCATGGTCTTCTGCGAACATCATACAGATCTATTTTGTTTGGAGTCCGACTTTTATCTACCCATGGGGAAGCTAAAAAGGAAAAAAGAAGTATAAAACAAATTAAAAACCTTATTTTAAAAACAACAGTATAATTTAATTAATATCACAGACTTCACTCTATATAAATATCAACATTTGGTATGCATAAAAAATACCTGTATTTATGTAATCTGTTTTTGAAATGCCTATATACTCCTATATATACGAGGATATAATATAACGCAATAAAACTATATATACATGAAGACCTAAAAGGGACAAATCGTGATGAAGAAACAGTTACTGACTACAGTTGACCACTGACTTCAACGGAACAAGAATTTCAACTAAAGTAATTTAGATAATGATTATTTTTTTTTTACAGGAAAAGTATTTAATTTTAAAAGCAGCTATAACTTAATTAGTGTTGTATACAGTAATACTGTGCTGATCTAAAGCTCAGTTATGCATCTAAAAAATTATTCACTGACTCAAGAGAGTTTTAACTAAAAATGTAAATTAGAAAAGTAACATGAAAGTATCATATTTTCTGAAAACAAAATGAGATGGAAATACTTGTGTCTCTGTAAAGGAAATGCTAAGATTAATAACATTTTGTAAGCATTTATTCTAAGCTTTACCATAATTTTAAGCAAGGGTATGCATCTTTTCCTTACTGAAAAACAAAACGAGCCTTTCAAAACCATTTGACAGCCTAATGAACACAAATAAAAATGTGAAAAGTTACACGAAATTAAATAATGTTCTGCAATTTGCTCTGTCACTGTATGCCAACAACATTAGGACATCTATTTCCTGATGTTAATAATTCTTCTCTTTAGGAAATAAAGAAAGATATAGGCATCTCCAGGATTCTTCCTGAAGAAGCATTCATCTAAGACAAATGGGAAGAATTACAATATCTCTATCCATCAATATAAAAGAAGAGCTTAGAGTAGCTGCCTATTTTTGATTGAAATGAATCCTTTCCTAAGTGACCATAACCTGAGTTGGTACAACAGTTACCAGAACACTTAAACAGAGCATAACACACAGAACATTTATCAGTACACATTTATCATCCACAGAAACCACTGCAGAAAACACACCAGAAGAATCTCAAACTCTGTACCAGTATTGTCTATGGTCTCAGACTATACCACCTGACAGGACGTCCTTTTATATCTGGAGCGATAAAGGTCTTTGAATTTTTCAGAAATGAGAGAATAGAAATTTAGAGACTAGTGTATGTCAGATTTGTACTCAAGTATCATTACTTAGGTATGCACAAGTCAAATTCACCAGTATTTATGAGCCTTAAGCCATGGTTAGCACATGTTCAATCACGGACTTCTTGTGTCTTTCCAAGCTAACCTATCCAATGGAATTCCATCTGAAAAATCATCCTTGAAATATACTCCTTAAGACTTGCAAAATCTGCATTCAATGTACTTATTTCTGTTTTAGTTATGAGTGGTTTAGGTAAAATAGTAAATACAAATCAATGTACTAACCAACACTGCCATATCTTTGCCCAAACTTCCAGTCTTTCTACAAGCATGCAATAAGAGGCTATGCTCTATCAAATCTTTCCCTTTTAATCAACCCATACCTTGGAGATTCTTCATAAACAGAGAATCTAGATGGTCTTTAAGGTTCCTTCCAAACAAAACCATTCTGTGATTCTATGATTCAATGAATTATCTGAATGTATGCATCTGGTTTTATTTCAAAACAACAGATAAAATGCAATTTACACTACTAGCATGACAATAAATTTTAGCAATCTCTACTAAGAAGTGAATTAAAACTTTTCTTTTTTTTAACGATATTTTTTTTTCATAAAACAGGTAAGTCCAGCTCCTTAGTTACACTCTTCAAAGCAAATGGATGGGAATTCAAAGAGAATTCAAATGCAGGAGCTGAAAAAGTCTGTTTCTAACATCACCTTATTCTGCTATAAGAGCAGATACTGACATAGGTATTAATTCAAAATTGAATCAATTTTCTAAATGTTCACAGAAGAAAAGACTAGCTCCTTAGCTAACCGTCACACAAACACTTACCTACAACTTATCTGATGTCTTAACCTTCAAGAAGATGATAGTGTAACTTACTTCACATATTATTTTGAACTACAATCTAACTTTTCTAAATTCTGAACTAAAATTTATAGAAATATGGGTTAAGATTACATTTTGTCTGTGTAATAGAAGACAGTATGAGAAATAATTGAGCTACATTTTACTGCAAAATGTATGTTAACATAAAACAACCTGGGAAGCCATCACATAATTTTCTTGAGGTCAACACTGGTTGCCTAGTGAGAACACACTTCAGAAATGTGTCCTTTAGATCAAAAATAGTGTGGCAAATCCTTCAGAAACAGGAAGTGGAAAAATTAATACTAACTTAAGCTTGTGAGGAAACACCAAATGATAAAATTTGAAATGCCTGGAACTTTCCCTAATATTTTCAAAAGCACAAAAAATTTCAGTATAACAAAAATGGGGGGGGAGGGTGTGCTTTTAATTTTTTAGTGCTTTTTAACTTTTTTTTCCTTTCTCTTTACGGAGACAATTCTCAAAAATTCTGGCTGAAATAGAAGAAAGGACCTGAAGACAAATCTTTCCAAATCTCTCTTCAGAGGTCTTTTCATTCAGACTCTTGCAACTAACTAAGTTTGCACTCAGTTCTACCACGGTTTTTCAGTAATTTCCTGGATTGGACAGTTCCTGGAAGGAATTTTTTTTATTTCCTGCAAGGAGAGTTCAGACTATCTCTTTCTGGGTACATCTATATTAATATGTTGAAAAGCACAATGGAAGGCAAGACATTTGCCAGAACTGGACTATGAACTATTACAATGGTTTCATTGATATCATTAGCTCACAAAAGAAACTGAATAAACCACTCAGCACACTACTTACAGCCTATCTATTCCTTTTGGAGATTACTGTGAATGACCACACAGTTTTTCATTTTGGGAGATGGACTGAGTGGTGAACACAACAGCTAAATTCTACTTCTCTTTCACTAGGTTGGCTCTTCCAGTACACACTGTCCTGGAAAAACTGTCAGCATCTTCAGAGAGATCTGGAGAAGGCCTTTAAAAACATTATTTTCTACTATGTCTTTAAAACAGCATTTTCTGTGCCACATGTCAGTAAGTTTGTTTTTCCTAATTAATATATTATGTTTTGTTGAGATAAATATAACAAGCAACTACATGCTTACATTTCCATGTGAGGACTTAAGTCTTAGTGACAAAAGCCATTACATGGTCTGAGATGAAAGCAGAAATGAAATATACAAAAAGATGATTACAGATTTACATAAAAATCTAAAATTGGAGACCAAGAACTTTGAAATTTACAGTTTTATTTATATAAATTATTGTTCAAAACATGCATTTTAATCAGATGCCTTGGAAGCTGGCTTACTAATCGTCTTGAAGATCTCAGCCTCACCCTGTTTCATTGTTGCAAACCAGTATCTTTGAACTATGTCAACACTACACAATTCTCTGTTGCATACATTAGGCTTTAGTCAAGTTCTCCTTTGATGATTTTCTTGTTTGGCATATGGTTAGATTTTATATTTAATAAATTATTCATCGGATTTGATATCCCTCCCACTTCTGCTGTTTGCATTATGGAGATATAGGCCTGGGTATATTTCTGCACATGTAGGGTGGAAATCTTCAGGTTTTTTGAGTACATGCAAAATCAATTCACGCACTACAGGGTTTGTCACAAAGTAAATCTTGAATAAAAGTATTCTTCAGGAAAGGGCAATCTTGACTACATCTGCCCATTTTTAATTCATGAGATGATTCCAGAGGCATAGGTGAGTGTCATGGGAGAGACACTCCTGAAAGTCCTGCTGA